TGGTTCCCTGTTTCAGATAGGGAATGGGAAAGAGCTGTAGCTCCTTTAGGAAGGCTTATCAGAATGTACAGAGAGTGTGAGTGGTTTGGGGGAAAATGCCCACAGGTGATTCTAATCTGCTTACCCACTCCTGGGTTTAGTTAGGTCCTGGCTGGAGGGATCATGTTTTCTTGTTCTCCTTGGGAACAGGACATGTTCTATAGGAAGAGGAACAGGGAATCACTCTTATTTTGGATAAAATTGTGGGCGTAATTATTGGTGGTACAGTTGAGGACCCCTAAACCTTAGGCAGTTCTATCTTTTAATATACCTTTATTTGGGTAGCTTTTCTAGAAATACAATTTCCTCTTTAAAGAGAGTGTTCATTTCCATTTCCATTTTTTTTAAAAGTTCCTTTGTGCCTGTTATTTGTTTTTTTTTAACACAACTAAGCATCTCTTATTTTGAAATGTTTTGTTGATTTGTATTCTTACTCACTGGTAAAAGCAGCTCAACTAGGCCAGGTGTGGTAGCACACGCCTGTCATCCCAGCACTTTGGGAGGCTGATGCGGTTGGATCACATGAGGTCAGGAGTTTAAGACCAGCCTGGCCAACATGGCAAAATTCCATCTCTATTAAAAATACAAAAACTTAGCTGGGTGTGGTGGTGCATGTCTGTAATCCCAGCTACTTGGGAGACTGAGGCAGGAGAATTGCTTGAACCTGGGAGTTGGAGGTTGCAGTGAGGTGAGATTGCGCCATTGTACTCCAGCCTGGGCAATAGAGCGAGACTCAGTCTCAAAAAAAAAAAGGCTATTCAACTAGTCCTTATTCCGAACAGAAAATACACTGAAAGGAAGTCAGTGCTGACTTTAGAATAATGAAATCACTGCTGTACTTGGAAATCACCCGCTTTTTCTTATTGCCTTGAAATGAAGCTTCTTTCATAAAGAAGCCAAATACGTAAAATGAACAAGCAAATACAACTTTCTTTTTCTTGAGAATCATTGTGGGTCTTTTGGTATCACTCCATTATTCTCTGTAAGCTGTATGACGATGCCTATTGGAAATTCCTTTGTCTGTACCTTCTGTTGGTTTATGCACTGTTACAGAAAATAAGTTGGACTGATGCTGGGCAAAATTGTGAAGACAGTGAAGTTTGCCTTTATCAGCAAAGCCACCCTCCTGCCTCGCTGCCTTTTTATTCCTCCCCTTTGCTATCTATCTCCTACTTTTCCTTTGCCCTTGGTGATTAAGTGTTCTGTTCTCCCTGCCCCCACCTTGGCCCATACACACAGGAAAGGCTCTGGTATCACTTACACAGTTAGCCTTTCCTTGGCGTTCTCCTTTTTAAAAATATAGGTAGTGAAAGATCAGGTTGCCCACGTTCTTCTTGCTCTGGGAGATTCCCCTTTCCTAACTCAACACAAATATTACGTTAGGTATTATCTCAAGACAAATATAGATGAAACAATGCCACCTTTCACACTTTCAAGGTTTAGCCTTACGTAAACTCTCATGGCTCATAGCTTATTATTAGTCTGCTGGGACACTTGTCACTCATTGAAATAGTTGATTGTTCTTCTCTAAATCTTATTTTTAAAAAGTACATACTCTCCTAGTCAGGGGGCATGGTGCTGAAAGCAGCCTGAGCTCAGCAGTGCACTGGATGGACAGAAGAAATAGCCAGCATTCTGTAGTAGTTCAGCACTTCACTTTCCTTTTGCTCACCTCACATTTTGAATGGGATTTGTGGACAGGATGGCTAAATGGTTTCCCCTTGGGGTTCATTCCAGATCATTAGGGTTTAGTAGAAACCACTCCTGGTTAGCTACCCACCTTTGATTGTATATGTGGAGATTTATACATTCAGTTAATTACAGCTATTCAAAAGCTCAGGAATTTTCTACTTGAAGAGATGTTATTGAGGAACAAATGGGCAAAAGAATTCCTTTAGCTTTTATTATATAATGAGAATGGCTTTCCTTTTAAAACTGCTTTGCCTGAAATGAATTCTGGGTAATATATATTCATGATATCCAAGGGTATAGTTTTCTCTTCTTGCTTGTTGATCCAGTGCTTTCTCATGTTTCTTATGCTGGTAATTTCCCAGATGATATTGGGGGGAGGACAGGAAGGCCAAGAGAAGCAAAATGCGGTGATTCATGCCAAGACAAATGGTCCCCAGCTTGTCTGCTACAAGGAGGGAAGTTGTTATTGTTTGGTAGGATGCATTTGAAGTTCCTTTTGTAGGACTGAGAGAGTTAAATGATGTGACATAGCAAGAGCTTATCACCCCTAAAAGCCACCTGATTGGTGAGGACACTAGCTGCCAGGCCTGCACTGTGGGGATAGCCTACTCCTTCCAGCCAGATCCCATCTGGATCAACTTCTAAAAACAAATGAGGACCACTCTTCCATAGGCAGTTCTATCTTTTGATATCTTTTTATGAGGGTAGCTTTTCTAAAAATACAATTTTCTTTTTCAAGAACGTGTTTGTTTTCATTTCCATTTTTTAAAAGTTCTGTGTCTGGTTTTTGTTTAACACAACTGAGCATCTCTTGTTTTGAAATGTTTTGTTGACTTGTGTTCTTACTCACTGGTATTATAATCCTCAGTTGGTATCTTGCGTGCAGCTTTTCAGTTACATATGGGTAGTATGCTTTGAGAGACTGGTTCTTGTCAGATTGCTTAAACGTTCTTGGTGGGGACATCACATGTGTTTCTTCACTGCACACTGCCTGAATTCCAGAAGAGGGTATTTTCCCATTCGATTGTAGCTTTCTTAAAACTTATTCTACATCCTAGAAATGGGTAATGTGTTTTGTTACATTTGAAAAACAATTTGGGGTGAACCTTATGATAATCTAAATATACAGAGAATTAATAAACATTCTAAAATATTTTATTTATATTCTCGAAGAGAAGATGGTAGTTACAGCAATGGTAACAGATACATGGTTCACTTCTTCAGAAGTGGCTCCACACCACAAACTCGTGTTTGTACCGATAGAGCATATCAGGACCTGAACACATATTAATGTTTAGTTTATTTAAAATGTAAGATTTGAAATATTTTTCCTTTCCACATGAAGGTGATATGTCAGGTAGTTTTAGTTTTTACTTTTGGCCTGCCATATCTTTTCTGTTATTGCTCATGCAAATAATGCTCCAATTAATGTACTTTTTATCAGCCGTGGTCTTTTGTTGGCAGTCAGTTAGGCAGTTTTAGATAACAAGTAAAGCCAAACAGTCCTTTATTATCCTTTATAAATATTATTACTGTACATTTTCCATGTAGGACTAATATGTCTTTTATACATTTTTATAAGAGTCAGACTTTAGAGAATACTAGAATCGCGTATTTTATTGCTATTTTCTGAATGTTGGCAGTAATTTATGAGTCTATTTAAAGGATGTAGTCTACTTAAAATAGACTTTTTATTATGTAGCCTATTTAAAACATGTAATTGTTAAACTAATATAGCATATGTGTCCTATGGAAGTTTACAAAACTGAGAAATATAATAGGAGGTATAAAAAATGGAGAGCTACACCATGGAAGGGAAAACTAAACATCATAAAAATGGTAGTTTTTCCAAATTTAAATTCTGTTCTTGGTGTGACTCCACTTGTCAATGACAAAGGAGTGGACATTGAGGACCAAGACAGTCCCCATCGCATGTTACAGCCCTTTCCAAAATCTTGGCTCTGTTGGAGAATGGAGTAGGTGAAACTGGAGGGGCCAGGAGAGACTGAGATTCTTCATTGTGAGAATCTAAAGCATATCTGAATGCTGATGTTTATTGGGACAATAGAAAAGAGAGAGATGAGTGAGGTGGGGTGAGGTTGGGATAGGTGTCTCTGATGGAACAAGGAATATCTCTGAGGAGGTATGGATGGATTGGCTTTTGAAAGAAAAGGAAGGTGCGGTGGCTCACACCTCTAATTTAAGCAGTTTGGGAGGCTGAGGGGTGTGGATCACGAGGTCAGGAGTTCGAGACCAGCCTGGCCAACATAGTGAAACCCCATCTCTCCTAAAAATACAAAAAATTAGCTGGGCTTAGTGGCGGATGCCTGTAATCCCAGCCACTCAGGGGGCTGAGGCAGGAGAATCGCTTGAACCCGAGAGAAGAGGTTGAAGTGAGCCGAGATCATGCTGTTGCATTGCACTCCAGCCCGGGCGACAGTGTGAAATTTCATCTCCAAAAAAAAAAAAAAAGACAGAAAGGGAAACTTGAGAGCTTGTATTATTTCTGTGACATACGGGGCTGTGTAGAATGACAGGGTACATAGGAAGTAAGTATGTTGAAAGTTTAAGAAGAGTACAAAAGGCTTGAAAGCAGGCATTTTAAAAAGTGAAAGCCTTTTCACTGGAAAACAATACAATTGCTGGGCAGTGTTGACTATAAATTTATAGCAATATTCTGCCTGGTTTTGTGATATCCACCCCCACCATTCCACACCCCACCCCCCCAGTAACTCTCAGATTTTCCGCAGCTAATCTGGAAAAGCAAGTGGTTGAGTTCAGAGTTTTTAATCCTGATGATCTTGAGGTCATTGATGCCTCCTCCTAACCTTGTAAGGATGAGAATAGACACATTCTCCACCTAAGAAGGCTGCAGCCGAGGCAGTGTGCTCTGGGGCAGTCTGTTTCAGTGAAAGCGAGATGGCAGAGGCGATGTCAGGAGGGAGGTCAAGTGCAGCAACACTGAGTTAGGTTACTGTGTGGGGCAGTTTTCAAAGCTTTCATTCTAATTGTTTTGGTGTCTTTAAAAAAAAATCTGTTTGAAAATGTCTAGCTTTCAGTTGTTTGTGGAAAAATAAACAAAAATGAATTTTTTTCTTAGAGTGAAACAAAGACATGACATTTAAGTTCATAACTGGTAAAATAAGATGCATATTTTCAGTAGACAAATGTTTTTCCATGGTTTGTATTCAGAATCCATATTTCGAAGCATAATGTAATCGTGTTGACTTGTATTTCCTACTAATGTAATGTCTCTTCTTTCCCTTTAGGAAATAGTCTAGTAAGCTTAACCTTTCATTTATTTAGTCTTCATGGATTAATTGAGTACTTCCATTTAGATATGATGAAACTTCGTAGATTTTTAGGTAAGTAATTCTAACCCATTAACAGTAATAAGATTTAACCAAAAAAAAAATCAGTAACGATTTACATTTATACAAGAACCTGTTTAAGTTTTATCTCAGTTACATCAGTTAGCTATTGCTCTATAACAAGCCATCCAAAATTAGTAGCTTAAAACAACACACAGTTATTTAGCTCTTACATCTGTGGGGCTGTTGAGTGCTTCTTTTGCTCTGGGTGAGCTCATTTGTGCACCTGCAGACAGCAACAGGTAGGCTGATTGTTGGTTTTGCAGTGACCTCAGCTAGGATACCAGGCCTGACCCATCTCGGCTCTACATAGTCTTCTGTTAAATTTAAAAGAAGCAGAGGAGTTTGGCACCATAATTGATTTACATTAAAAACAAGAAAGAATTATTTATTTTACAGTTAGCTGAGCTTGTTCAAACAGTAGTGGCAGGTTTCCAAGAGAGAGCTGATAAGCCCAGGCCTTTGGAGCCCTGGGCTCAGAACTGGCCCATCTTCACTTCTGCAGCAAGTGGCCACAGCAGGTCACACCATGGATGAACTGCTTCTATTGATGCAGAGAATGCAAAGTCGCAGAGCCATAGAAACAGGGAATAGTGAAGACTTGATTTTATTTTGCAATCAGTTTCTTAACATTGGCCACAGATTGCTGACAAAGATGACACAATTTCTGTACTTTTCTAAATTTTTGAAGGCTAAAACTTTAAAAGATGAGGTATATTGCAGTTAGGTTTCTTCTTTTTCTGATCCCTAAAATCTCTTGAGAGTAAGCTTTAAAGATAATTTGGGGCCGGGTGTGGTGGCTCATGCCTGTAATACCAGCACTTTGGAAGGCCGAGGTGGGCGGATCACTTGAAGCCAGGAGTTGGAGACCAGCCTGGCCAACATGGTGAAACCCTGTCTCTACTAAAAATACAAAAAAAGTAGCCAGGTGTAGTGGCGAGTACCTATAATTCCAGCTACTTGAGAGGCTGAGGCACAAGATATCAACTCTGGTCTTCCTTTGTAATATGCACCAATTTCTCCTGGTTGGTTCTACCTGAGGAAGGCGTTTATGATTCCTGGTAAAGTGTTTGTTCGTCATTAGGTGGATAGAGGAACTTCAGAGAAAGTCCTCTCCTGTATTTGCTGCTCCGAGTTTGAAGTCCAAAGCAGCATATTTTGGGGTCTCATTTTCTGAGCCTCAATGTGATATTTTATATAGTGCCTAGATCATGAGATAGCTTAATTTGTAATTCATTATTGCTTATGTACAACAAAAAGATTACAACTTGCTGAAGGCTCAAATAATCATTAGCATTTTGTAGCAATAAAGTCTTTTAAATTGAGATGTATACATTAGTTTTTTTAAAGACATAATGGTATTGTACAGTCATAGACTATAGTGTAAACATAAGAGCTATGTTTACTGGGAAACCCAGAATTTTGACTTGCTGTATTACAGAATTCACTTTATATTAGTGGTCTGGAACTTAACACTCAACACCTCTGTGGTATGCCTGTACTTAATAGTGAGAGACCATCACATTGATTTGAAATCCTTTTAAAATCTTCCCATTTTAAGTAGAGAGAAATTACAAATTATTCAGGAAGTAATTTATTTCTGTAGGAAAATGATGAAACTTTGGAACTATAATGGAGTTAAGATGGTGCTGGTGGGGCATTTCATATTTTATGTATGCTGGGCCTGGTGGCTCACACCTGTAATCGTGGCACTTTGGGAGGCCGAGGCAGATGGATCACTTGAGGCCAGGAGTTTGAGATTAGCCTTGCCAGCATGGTGAAACCCCATCTCTACTAAAAATACAAAAATTAGTCAGGTGTGGAGGCATGTGCCTCTAATCCCAGCTACTCAGGAGGCTGAGGCAGGAGAATCATTTTAACCTGGGAGGCGGAGGTTGCAGTGAGCTGAGATGGTGCCACTACACTCCAGCCTGAGCAACAGACCGAGACCCTGTCTCAAAAAGCGGGGGGGAGAAAGCAGCCTCCGTACCAACAATGTACACCCAGTTGAAGAGCTAGAAATACTAACTCAGATTTGAGACTTGTGCTTAGAACTCTGGCTTAAAAAAAGAAATACCAGACTGAGTAAATTCATTATGTAGAGTTTTTACAAAGCTTTTTCTTTCAGAGATAGTCTTGCTCGTCCCCTAGAAACTCCTTGGTCTACAGCCTTGACCTCCCAGGCTCAAGCGATCCTTCCACCTCAGCTTTCTGAGTAGGAATAAAGGTGTGCACCACCACGCTGGGCTACATTTTTATTTTTATTTTTAATAGGGACAAGGTCTTACTAATGGCCTAAGCTGGTCTCAGACTCCTGGCCTTAAGCAATCCTCTGGCCTTGCCCTCCCAAAGTGCTGGAATTACAGGTGTCAGGCAGCACACTTGGCCTTGAGAAACTTTTTAATGTGTGTTAATTATAAGTAGTGTGCCTGTAATACTGTACAGTAGTCTCCCTTTATCTCTGGTTTTGCTTTCTGTGGTTTCAGTTACCCGTGGTCAACTGTAGTCTACAAATATTAAATGGAAAATTCCAGAAGCAAGCTATTTATCAGTTTTAAATTGTGCACCCTTGTAAGCAGGGTGATGAAATCTCATTGCATCCTGATCCGTGTTGGTTATCAGATCAGCTGGGTTGGTATCACAGTGCTTGTGTTCTTCACCCTTATTTTACTTCATAATGGCCCCAAAGCACAAGAGTTGTGATGCTGGCATATTGTTATAAGTGTTCTATTTTATTTTGGTTATTGTTAATTTCTTACTGTGACTAACTTATAATTTAAGCATTATCATAGGTGTGTTTGTATAGGAAAAACATACATAGGGTTTGGTACTATCTGTGGTTTCAGGCATCTATTGGGGGGTCTCAGAACATATCCCCCCAAAATATGAGGGGACTACTGTACTAAAATGTAAATTATAAAACACATACGGTCGGGCATGGTGGCTGACACCTGTAATCCCAGCACTTTGGGACGCTGAGGTGGGTGGATCACCTGAGGTGTAAGGAGTTCAAGACCAGCTTGGCCAGCATGGTAACATCCCATCTTTACAAAATACAAAGAATTAGCCAGGCATGAAGACAGGTGACAGAGCGAGACTCCGTCTCAAAAAAATAAAAAACAACACATACAAAAATAGCTTATTAGGAAGGGCATAGTGGCTCACACCTGTAATGCTGGCACTTTGGGAAACCAAGACAGGTAGACTGCTTGAGCCCAGGAGTTCAAAACCAGTCTGGGCAACATGGCAAGATCCTGTCTCTACAAAAAAATACAAATAATTAGCCAGGCATGGTGGCATGCACTTGTGGTTCCAGCTACTTGGAGCCTCAGGTGGGAAGATAACTTGAGCCCAGGAGGTCAAGGCTGTAGTGAGCCATGATCATGTAACTGCACTCCAGCCTGGGCAACAAAGTAAGATCCTGTGTCAAAGAAACAGTATTAACAAGGGTATTGAAAAGGCTCTTTTAAAGGATGGGACAGAAGCAGTGCAGAATTCTGATGGTCTGTCCCACTCACTTGGTGATTGTGTTTCCCCATGACAGGTAGGCTCGCTTCCCTTTTAGTCCACTGAATTAGGGTGTTATTCTGCTGGGCTGTCATGTAGGTTTGATGACAGGGGGCACGGCTCACCCTGAAGCCTAGTCTGTTCTTCCATGATAGCATAGAGAGTCAAATTGATATTGATTCTCTGGGTATACATATGAGTTGTGAGGTGATTGTCATCTGCCCAAATCTGCACAATTTTAGCTGATAGCTACATGAAAAGTGTGAGTGGGTAACTCATAATTATCACAATTTTTGTACTTGTACATGTTGCTCATATACAATAAAATCTGGATCTTTTTCTTTGATGCAGTTATGATTCAAGAGGATTACCACAGTCAAAATCCTTACCATAACGCAGTCCACGCTGCAGATGTTACTCAGGCCATGCACTGTTATTTAAAGGAACCTAAGGTAAGAGGTTGACATTTATTTCAGGTGAAAATCATAAGAAAATCCTTTTGATTTACTTTCACATACTTCTCCTGAAGTTACTGCCTTGACTCAAAATCATAATCTTCCTTCACAAGAGTGAGATAGAGCTCGATCAGTTTCTGAATCTGGCTGTGTTTCAAAGTGCAACAACTAGAGAGTTGGGTGGTTGTTGAGAGAGGCTGGAGAAGCCCAAGCAAGGGCCAGGTCATTTGAAACCTTAACTGCTGAAGACATCTGGCATTTACATTGAGCTCCACATGGGTTCCATGTGGGCAGGGACAGCCTTGGTCTGACTCAGTGAATGAATGGGGAGCTACAGAAGGGAAGCAGGAGACGAGAAAATTATCCCAGCTGTGGTGTGAAAATAAATCCTATCAAGACCAAAAGCCTGTACACCTGCCAGGAGTTACTTCAGTGCTCCATGGAAGAGAGCAGAGTGGCCTTGGTGAAGTAGAGAACGTGGATGGTTTGCAGGTTCTCTTGGGAATTAGAATGAATGGAATGTGGTGTGTAATGCGTTTGGGGGAAAGAAACCCAAGTCAGCGAAGACTTGGTTTGGGCAGTTGGTAGAAGGTGGAAGTCTTCCATGAGAGAAGGAATGTAGAGAGGAGCAAGGAGGAAGAATGTAGAGAGGACAAGTTTTAGGGGTAAGGCTTGTAGACAGTGAGCACCATTTTGGATCCATGGAGTTTAATGTATTTGACATCAAGAGTTACATAAAAGAGTCTGAAGTATAGGAGAGAAATCAGACTATATGTATGGATTTGGGACATTTTCTATCCCTGGCAGTTCTGCAATTATGTCTGCTTACCCCATCCCTACTTAAAAACTGCTCTCTCCCTAGATCTTAGTTCTGGCTAAGGTGTTAGGCAGGAAACAGGCTGACCAAACTGGCTTGTGTCATTGATGCTAACTTAAGAACACGTGAATCTTCTGATTATTTAAGAGATCATAGAATATATGAAAATGCCCAGTTTTTTTTTTTAGTATATGTATCATGACTTTTAAAAAAATCGAATTTCTTGTGGCAGAACTTATATGCAGTAATATAGTGCATACATTTTATGTGTACAGTTTTGACAAATGTATTCTCCCAACCAACCCAACTGTTTTTTTCCTAAGAGACAGGATTTCACAGTGTTGCCCAGGCTGGAGGGCAGTGGTGTGTTCACAGCTCATGAAGCCTCGACCTCCTGGGCTCAAGCTGGAGGCCAGCTACTTTTTAAAATTTTTTGTAGAGACAGGGTCTCACTCTATTGCCCACCCTAATTTTTTTAATTAAACTTTTAAAAAATTCTGGGCGAAAACTGCAACCTCTGTTTGAGAATGTTGAGGAAGAAATTGATAAGTAATGACCATACATATAGTCTGGTAAGTGGAAAGATGGCGATAAGTTCTCTGCAGCACACAGGAGGGTTAACCCGGTCAGTGAAAACTTCTGCACTCCTGTCTCCCTCTGGGCACACCCAACCCAAGCCAGGGGCAAGGAAATCTGGGTGATGAAAGGTGAGCAGGGCAAGGAAGCACATGGACAAACATGAATAAAAACACGATTTTGAACATTTCTTGCCTGTGGAGTTCTGATAATCTTTAAACACTTTTCATCTTTAACATACTCAGTGAACACTTTACCAAAGACTTCAGTTAAGGATATAGATAAAATCACAAAGCCCTACGATGTAAGTATTTCCCTTCTCCCTTAAAGTGAACATTTTTAAATGGAGTCACCCAGGGCCAGGCGCAGTGACTCCTGTCTGTAATCCTAGCACTTTGGGAGGCCAAGGCAGGTGGCTTGCTTAAGCCCAGGAGTTTGAGAGTAGCCTGGGCAACATAGCAAGATCTTGTCTCTTTTATTCAAAAAAAGAAAGAAAACCAGAGTCACTGAAAGTTTTAAAAGCAAATTCTAAAAAATTTGAGTTAGGTCCAGGTACAGTGGCTCATGCCTGTAATCCCAGTACTTTGGGAGGCCAGGACAAGAGGATCACTTGAAGCCAGGAGTTTGAGACCAACCTGGGCAATATAGCAAGACCCCACATCTACAAAAAATAAAAAGTTAGATGGGCATACTGGTGTGCACCTGTGGTCCCAGCTACTTAGGAGGCTGACTCAGGAGGATCACTTGAGCCTGGGAAGTCCAGTAGAGAGTTGTGATAGTGCCACTGCACTGCAGCCTGGGTGATGGAGCAACACCCTATTCATCAATTGATTGATCGATCGATAGATAAGATTAGGTAGATGCCTGAAGTTGTATCTCTTTTACTTCCTGAGCCTTTGCATAGCATCACATTTTTGATGCTCTTTGAGCATCTGCCACGTACAGGCTCTATCCCGGTGCTAGGAACATAGTGGTGAGCAGGACAGCAGTAGTCCCTGCCTTCATGAAGTGTACATCCTAGTGAGGGAGGGGCAGTCATTAAACAAATGGATAAATCGAATTTTGATCAAAATAATGTGCTAGTGGCCAGGTGTGGTGGCTCACACCTGTAATCCCAGCATTTTGGGAGGCCGAGGCTGGTGGAGCACCTGAGGTCAGGAGTTCGTGACCAGCCTGGCCAACATGGTGAAACCCCATCTCTACTAAAAATACTAAAATCAGCTGGGAATTGTGGTGCCTATACTTAAACTAAGTCTGGATAAGAATTACTGTTAGACGTTCCAGAGATAAAGCCACTAACACTGAACCTTTAAACCTTGCTCTACTTGTCTCTGGCAGTTGAAAAAAGAGCCTGGCCCCCACACCTCTCCCTGGCCCCCACATCCTTCCCTTTGATGTCAGCGAGATTGGTGATGGTTGAGTGGCCTTTCTTATGGAAAGGCTTATTCATGCTCCAAGTAGATGCTAATCCCTAGTGAAAAAAATGTGAGTAAGATGAATTTTGGCCCCTGGAATCTTCCTTGTGAAACATACGGGATGTGTGATGATGCAGGCCTCTATTCCCAATTACTTGGGAGGCTGAGGCAGGAGAATCGCTTGAACCCAGGAGGCAGAGTTTGTGGTGAGCTGAGATGGTGCCACTGCACTCTAGCCTGGGCAGCAGAATGAGACTCTCAAAAGAAAGAAAAGTGTGCAACCTAGATTCCTTACATGCACAGTTTACAATAGGGTTTGTGCTCCTGTGGGAATCTACTGCTTCCAAGGCAGAGCTCAGGCAGTAATGTGTGCTGGCCGGCAGCTCACTTCATGCTGTGCATCTGATTCCTGTTAGATTCCTAACAGGCCACGGACCAGTACCAGTCCACGGCCTGGGAGTTGAGGAGCCCTGCTTTTACATATCCTAAAGAGGAAATAATTTTCTTTACCATCTTCTCCTTTTCATTGACCTTCTCCACGTACTAATTATATGTGATACAAAAATAAATAATATATTCTCTGCCTTCAGGTAGCTAGCAGTTTTCCAGAAGATTCAGGCCCTCAGACAGTGATTTTTCTGACTGAGATGAACGTAACACAAGGAGTAGAAAGAGATGACTGATTCATTCTAGCAGAAAAAGAAAATAATAGAATTTGAATCTATTAGTTCAGTATAATAATTTATAAGTAAATATACTTAGTGGTGTACACTCAAAAGTTTTCACTGTTAGAGCACAGGATCGTTACAGTTTAGTCAGCACTGTCCTAATGTAAACGTAAATAATAATATGTTCTGATGAGTGTTATTGTGGCAGGCTGTGAGGTGCTGTGGGAACACAAATCTGGCCAAGTTTGCCAGAAAATGAGAGGCGATTCATGAAAAGTAGATGATATATTCAAGGTGATCATTTTTTATCCTTGAACATTTGTTAGCGAATCATAAACTTATTTATTGTGATTTTTAAATCAAATAAGTTTGGTAATGATTATTGAGAGTAAAGTTACAGTATCTTGTGTGCAAGATTGCTTTCCCTGACATAAATACATGGTGTCATTGTCCTGAATGTATCCATCCATTGGGGGAGGATTTTATCACAGGCTTGACACAGACTTCGACTTAACAGGATTACTTAGTAGACTCCTTGAACATCAAGGCTACAGGAATAACCTTACATTTTAGATAGCATTTTGCTGAGAAATAAATACCCTTAAAACTTTAGGTCTGCTGTTCAGTAACAGCTATAGTAATAAAAATGTGCCAACCTGTGTTTGTCATTTTAAAGCCATTATTTCTCAAAAAGAATGATTTATGCTTTAGCTGCCATTTTAATTAAGCTTGTTAAAAATGACATGGCCTAAGGATGAGCTCTGTAAATTCCATGTGGGCAGGGCCACTGTTGTATCATGCCTGCGCCAGTGTGGTGATGAGGCCAGGGCCTGGCACGTGTGGTTGGTGGCCCTAATGAACAGCCACCTGAAGAATGAGGTGAAGTGGGAGGAGATTGCCACCACTGCCATTGGCTGCTAATTCAAAACTACTGTAATGGCGTAGGGCTTATTTTAGATATATCTGTGATACATTATTCTTTTGTCACACTTCAGCTTGCCAGTTCTGTAACTCCTTGGGATATCTTGCTGAGCTTAATTGCAGCTGCCACTCATGATCTGGATCATCCAGGTGTTAATCAACCTTTCCTTATTAAAACTAACCATTACTTGGCAACTTTATACAAGGTTAGTGCAATTTTATCATCAAAATTTATTATTTTTGCATTCTAGAAAGTGTTTTATATTTTGAAGAAATGAAAGTAGTGAAAATAAATTCTCAGTGAATATGGAGAGTTTTAACCAGATGTTACTCACAGTATTGTTAGTAATGATATGTCCAGAGAGAGACGTATCATTAAATAACTCAGAAACGTCCTTTGTTGTAGAATACCTCAGTACTGGAAAATCACCACTGGAGATCTGCAGTGGGCTTGTTGAGAGAATCAGGCTTATTCTCACATCTGCCATTAGAAAGCAGGTAGGTTGGATTAAGACACATTTGTTATTGGTTATAGAAGTTAAGTTGGCAAAGTAATTTTATAAAGTTTTAAAAATTGTTATGTTCAGGTATTCTGCAGTTTTCAGTTTTTGTTAAATTTCATGAATCATATACAATTTTAATAATTTAGGCCTATCCTGTTATATAGTTGGTAACATTTTAATGGATGGTTATTTTTATGAATGACTATTCCATGGATTTGAATACTATAAAATTTACTCCAAATACACAATGGCTCAGCCATAGTTTACTACTTATTTACATAAATAAATATTACATATTTCCATACTTAGCTGAATAAAACCTTAAGGTCTAGGTATAAAGGTAAATTGGATGGAATGTAAACATTCTGTTGTATTAAATATATTCATTAAAATCTGTTCTCAGAAGTTTTCAAAACTGACAAAAAGAAGTGCCTTATATCGTCAATAGCGTAATTCTGGAGTCACACTTCTGAAGCTATAGGATACAATAACGAATGAAAGAAACCCTAATATTTTAGAATAAAAATAACCTAATGTTAAGTGGGCTATATAGAACCTAACAAAAAACATTAATGTGAATAAGGCTAACATGATGGCGATGGTTTACAGAATCTCACATCATTGCCATAGTGTGGTCCTCACACAAGCTTTTTAGTAATGTCGCACCGAGGGAAAGTGCATGTCAGAAAACCATGAAAGTGGATCAAAGCCGTCCACGTCAAGAAAAGTGGTGAGGCATAAAAATATGTTTGAGGACTAAAATTTAAGTTACACTCACTGTTCTGTGGTTTCCCTTTCATAACTTTAGACAGCTTTTTAAAAACTGTTTTGTGTAATGACCGTGAGAAAAAAGCTGGACTTTATTTTTTATTTTTTTAAATCTTTATTCACGGATACCATTTGGAGTATGACAATACTTCTGGTAAGTAAAATCATTTCTTGCTGTAGTACAAATATGAAAATTGCTTAAACACACTGTGTTTGTAATATGTAAATTATGGGTTCTTGAAATTAAGACAGATTAAAATGTTTGCTTTTTGTTTCCTTTTTAAAAATCATGTTTTTCATTTGATGATTAACCCTGTTGAGTTCTCAGATTTAATAAAAATGGAAATAGGAATACTGCCTAATAGCATTATTTAATGTTTTCTTCATTTAGGATTTGTTTTATATAACATTCAATATTGTAAGTCTTTTAATCTATTTGACAGCTCTTAACTGATCAGTATACAGAGATAATGTTTACTATGACCCATTAAAACAAAAGGCAAGATTTTTTTTAAATGTGTTTTTCTCTTGTTAGACTTGAGGCAATTTTATGAATGATATATGTATTTGCTGTGTCTATTAACATGTTACCTTTTTCCTTCCAGAAAAGTTGGAAATTCATTTCCAGATAACTGATTGGTTCTTGAGTTTAACCTTGAAAACATAGTTGAATCTAAATTTATTAAGTTGCTCTGGGGAATTCCAACAGGCATCTTAGTCAAAATGTCTGTAGGAGTCAGCTGTTGAATGGGCCATTAGTCCTTCCATTTGAATCTTCCTTCTGCCTTTAGATCTTAGGTACCAAAAGAAACCAAAGTTGTTTACCCTCAGCATGAGAATTTTTCAGCAAAGAATGCCAGCAAGGAATTTTTTGAAACAACATACCAATGTTGATTTTTTTTTTTCAAAGCACATAATCCTACCTTGGATGGCAAAATAAAGGCTCTCCTTTTGAAATGTTTGCGTATCGGTATTTTCCTACAGACTCCCTTGGTTTTAGTTTTGGTTATCTTAACAGTTTTTTTTTTTTTTAAGCATTCTATAAAACTTTTTCATGATAAATTTTAGATTGAATGATAGTTGGATATTTTAGAGTTCTATAAAAGCCTTCTGATTATTACGGTTAAGAAAAAAAAATCAAGAAGTGAATATTTAAAGTCTTATATTTTCTCTTTATATTTCTCTAATTCCAGGCAACAAATGGAGACACAGATAGGTGCTCTGATACTAGCCACAGACATCAGTCGCCAGAATGAGTATCTGTCTTTGTTTAGGTCCCATTTGGATAGAGGTGATTTATGCCTAGAAGACACTAGACATAGACATTTGGTTTTACAGGTAAAATGGGGCTTGGAAACATTCTATTTCTAGGATAAATTATGTGACTGTTAAACTAAAAAATGAAATATTCTAGAATGGTTAAATGTTGAGGGCAGGATGAGAAATTTCCTTCAATTAGCACACACTCCCTCCAGAAGGAGCTCACTGGTGAATCTGCTACCTATAAAGGCATCATCACTTACGTGTTTTTCATACTCAAGATTTCTGATGAAAACAGTTACTACAAGATTAGGGTATCAATGAAGAAATAGCAGTTTATTCTCATAAATTCTTACATCTAAAAATAGGAGGGAACATTACATTTCTGGCTTATTTGTTTATACTTTATGGTTAATCCAATCCTCGCACTTGGTTCTTTGGTATTGTCAAATGTATATATCTTAAAATAATATTAATGTTTCATTTGCCAGATGGCTTTGAAATGTGCTGATATCTGTAACCCATGTCGGACCTGGGAATTAAGCAAGCAGTGGAGTGAAAAAGTAACGGAGGAATTCTTCCATCAAGGCAAGTTACAGTATTGAGTGACAATCTATCCAATTCATTTTTTAACATCATAAGAATAAAATAACTCAATAATTTATACAAGTCTAGCAGTGAAGTCTTGATATTTTTTAGTGACAATTCACAATAGATATACATATAATCAATACTCTACATTGAGCATCTATTTTGAAAATTAGAAGTCCTCTTTTGGAATGATCAGATGTATTTATGCATTTATGAATATAGATAGATTAGGTTTGGAATTTTGCTGTACAGAAAGATTTCCCTGAACTTGCTTTATCCTTGTCATGTGTGGAGGGCCATATGAACAAGTAAAACTTTTGTGTTTGTAATTTAAAGCCTGGTTTAAATGTTAGAAAACTTTCACCAGGTGTTACCCCAAGAATGTAATTTATAACTCTAATAATTTATAAATTTATAACACCTAGTGAAAGTTTTCTACCTTTTGCATTTAAATAAAAATATTGGTTTGGCAATCTCTTCTGTGTGTGAATAACTTAAAATTTTAAAAAGAACTAATTGTGAAGCTGTCCTTTCATGAGGATTAAGTATATTTTTCCCAAGAAATGCACAGGTATGGTGAAGTCTTTAAATATATATTTAACCAATAGATATTCTTCATATTAATACCTCTCTTTTTTTTTATTGTATAGGAGATATAGAAAAAAAGTATCATTTGGGTGTGAGTCCACTTTGCGATCGTCACACTGAATCTATTGCCAACATCCAAATTGGTAACTATTCATATTTTGATATAGCTGGTTAGAAAAATGCCACTGATTTTAATTTTATCAAGAAGGGAAATATATTTGAAATATAAAAATATTAAAATTATGCTCATTTCTGTTTTTTTAAATAATTTAAAAAATTTTACCCTTTGTTCCTTGTTATTGCTCTTCTAATTTATTCTCATTTAATTTTAGGATGTAAAAAGCATTTTTTTGCAGAATAGGCCGCAGCAATAACTTGTTTCTGTTCTTATGTAAATAAAAATCCACTATTTGCCCATGTAGAAGCTTCTTTTGCATAAAAGTCAAGACTGCCATTTAAAAATGGATAGGTAAACAAAGAAATAACAAAAATAAATAAATAGATGAAATAAGAATGGATAGGTAACCCACTGAGCCTTATCATAATACAAAGACCAGCTTCAGCCACTGCGTTTCTGGACTCTTACCACTGCTTATTGATGAAATCTGACTCTGCAACATCTTAGACAGGCCCTTATCATCTAGCTTCACATGCTCTGCAGCCATCTTGCCTCAACTTCCTTCTGTGTTTCCCAAGTCCACGCTGTTCTTTTGCTCTCTGTGCCTCACCAGTCCTTTCCATGTGCCTTGTAGAGTTATTTTTCTAGAAGAGCTAGCTCAAAAGTCACCTTCTCCAGAAGCTGCTCTCCACTTGTCTCAGGCAGAGTCAGTCACTTCTCCTTCAGATTCCAAAGCACCTGATACACTTAGTTGTGTATTCCTGGAGCCTAGCACCACACTGGAAGCAAGAGGCCCTTGAGAACTGTGTATTGAGTGAATAAATAACTGTAATATTACAGAAAGCATAATGAAAATGTCCTGTAACTGAAGTATGTGTAGCTCGTTGCAGAAGAGCCCAGGAAAGATTGACTAGAATTGAGCAAAGGGCAGTAGTTCAACAAGGAATTGAGGGAGGAGTGTAATATGGTGGCTGGGGGGGAGGGCCTTTGAGAAGCAGACTGAACACAGCAAAGTATGTGCCCAAACTTCAGAAAGATGAGATTTCCAGAAACTCAGAAGGTAGCACAATATATGGCATCACACTCAGAAAGAAAGACCATGTCATGGGGCCAGAAATTGAGAGACGTAATTCTTACATTATGATCGCAGTGGATACTCACGGAAGAAAGTGGGTAGTGGCGGATTTGACCTCAGAGTGACAGGTAGAGAAGGGAAGAGTGTGCAAAAGTGTGGCCTAGACTTTAGGAGTGTTAGAGATGTCAAATCTCCCAGAGAGCTCAGACTGGCCAGGAATGCTGAGGGTAGCACATGCTTTTCTTTTGGAAGGTTAGTGAATCAATTTAGAACCAGATCTGCTTTGTCTTGATTTTCAAATAGAATAATCTTCAAATGCAAAAGAATACATTAGAAATGGACAAAAGTGGCCAGGCCTGGTGGCTCACGCCTGTAACCCTGGCACTTGGGAGGCTAAGGCAGGCAGATCGCTTGAGATCAGGAGTTCAAGACCACCCTGGCCAATATAGCAAAACCCCATCTCTACTGAAAATACAAAAATTAGGTCGGGCATGGTGGCTCAAGCCTGTAATCTCGGCACTTTGGGAGGCTGAGGTGGGCAGATCACCTAAGGTCAGGAGTTCGAGACCAGCCTGGCCAAAATGGTGAAACCTCATCTCTACTAAAAATACAAAAATTAGCCAGGCATGGTGGCCCATGTCTGTAATACAGCTACTCGGGAGGCTGAGGCAGGAGAATTGCTTGAATCCATGAGGCAGAGGCTGCATGTACCACTGCACTCCAGCCTGGGTGGCAGAGTGAGACTCCATCTCAAAAAAAAAAAAAAAAAAAAAAGCTGGGCATGTTGGCTACTCAGAAGGCTAAGGTAAGAGAATCACTTGAACCCGGGAGGCAGAGGTTGCAGTGAGCTCACATCATGCCGCTGCATTCCAGCCTGGGCAACAGAGTGAGACTCCATCACTCCATCTCAAAAAAAAAAAAAGGACGAAAGAGAATTGAACTGAAGACAGGTGAATGGGTAGTCACCTCAGTTACTTTAAATATTAAATGTCTTTTCTTCTGAGTAAATTACTTCCTTGCTTATTGGGAGAACTTGCAAATGAGATTTAAAACATCGCAATTTTTATAAAGTAACAAAAGCTAAAACCCTTCCACTGTTCATCTTAAGCTATTGATCTCATCAGTGTTGTACAGATCTAGAATGGGTTGTCAGGGATAAGGTCACTGATCTGATGGTGATTATTGACATCTGCTGACTCCACACAGCAACCCTAGAGGACAGGTGCTTCGAGCATCCTCATTTTTAGATGGTTTGCCCACTTCATGCAGTTAACAGGTTTTCGTGTTGGGCTTCAAATCCAGGTCTTTCTGACATCAAATCCCAGCCTCTTAACAACTCACCAAGAAGTGATTACTACTTCCCAGCATGGGGGCAGTATGTACAAGTCACGTTGAACTAATACAGTTTCCTTCTTTGATAAGGAATATTAATTTTGTTGAACAAGAAAGTATCATGTACTGGATTAAGAGTAAGGCATTTGACAAGGCGCCCGGTGAAGTCTGTGAAGAGAAAGTAGAGGCTTGTGGGGCTAGTACAATTAAATGGATTCACACATGGCTGAACAGCTGTGTGCAAGGTACTCATTAATAGAGTCCTGCCCTCCGAGAGAGAGGCTGTGTTTATGGCTCTGGCCTGTTCATTTTTATCAGGTATTTAAGACCTAAAAGAAAGTTTAGGTTAACATAGAGCCAGAAGTGATACAGCTAATTGGCTGTTGGAGGTAAGATTCCCCAAGGATCTCATCCAGTTGGAACAGTGAAGGGGATGAAATAAGATGAATGGTGTGAAACCTATGATAATTAGGGCCTGCATGTGGGTACACAACTCCAGTGGCTCATGACCTTATGGCATGTAGGAAAGACAGGCTTTGGGTGGCTGGCTCAACATGACACAGTGGCGTGAGGATGGCTGCCAGAAAGTCACTGTGTGCTGTGTAATGACAGTTTTCTGTTTGTTATCTCTTTATCTTCACCAGAACATAAGCTCCTTGAGGGCAGGGATCAGGTCTGTCTTACTGCTGTATACCCAGCCACTCTGGCACAGTGTCAGGCACACAGTAGGTTCTCAGTAAATATGGGTAGAGGGAATGGATCAGTGAAAGAAAGAAAGCCTTATTGCGCATACCATAGTTACTGTTTCAGATACCATAATTATATACACTTAAAAAAATTCAGCCATGAGACCATACATGACTTTCCTAATTAAAAGTAGTGGTTGCTAATTGCTTTAATTCTGATGAGATTCTTATGTTGGATAAATGGAACCTATGTTGTGTGTGGTCCACATGGTATTTTGCTGCAATGAGAGTCTTGGATATGAAGAAGATTTTTAAAGCAGTGGTAGAATCTGAATGTATATTTTCCCCATTCTTAATAGATCAAAACGTGAAAAAGGTGTCATTTGTTCCCAATACATAATATGATTTGATTGGTACCTATTTTCTAGAGGGCTTCTTGTGACCCTCTGTAAGGTGCTGTTTAGTATTAAGTCAGATCTAATGTGCTGTATAACCTAAATGCAAACAATCCTGAAATCATTTTCCTTTTCAGACAGTGAATTCAGGGAGTTTATAGGTATTGTTTATAAAATAAGTCTCTGGTACACATTTGGTGTTCACGTTAATGATTTTTTCACTAACGTCACCTATTTTTAGAGTGAATTTTTTTTTTTTTTTTTTTTTTTTTTGAGACTAAGTCTTTCTCTGTCGCCTCGACTGGAGTGCTGCAACAGTGTGATCTTCGCTCACCACAGCCTCTACCTCCCAGGTTCAAGTGTTTCTCCTGCCTCAGCCTCCAGGGTGGCTGGGATTGCAGAAACCACACCACCATGCCTGGCTAATTTTTTATATTTTTAGTAGAGACAGGGTTTCACCATGTTGGCCAGGCTGGTCTCAAACTCCTGACCTCGTGATCCGCCCGGGCTGGCCTCCCCAAAGTGCTGGGATTACAGGCGTGAGCCACTGCTCCTGGCCTAGAGTGACTCTTATCATAAGGTTTTGCTTTATAAATTCTGAGTTAAATAAAATGACCAATTGTAATCATGATCAGGCATCAAGATTCCATCGCTGAGGGGTAAAGCAGTAGACTACCACCAGCTCCACTTCAGTTCAGGCCCCATCACCCACAGTCCTGGAGGATACCCCTTCTTAGCCTCCAGTTGTTACACTGCAGCTCTGTCTCAAGTGGGGTTATGCCCTGGTATCCTCAGAGTTGATATGGCAGTGTGTGTTTGCTTAAGTAGAAGAATGTAGTTGTGCCACTGAGAAGGGTAACGGGGAAAAGATTTGATATGTTTATCAGTTAACTTTTACTTAAGGTTCCATTGAGTTACTTAACAAATCAGTTCTTCAAAGCAGATACGTACATTACAGACCCTGTCACCTACACTCACAGAGGAATCTTTTGAAAAATAAGATTTAGGTAATAGTGGAGTAGGACATAGGAAGGTTAATTAACACTGTATAGATGTTGTTTTAAAGATAGAGTTTCAGCACATATGCTAATAACTTTTTCTCCTATTTATTTTCTCCAGGTTTTATGACTTACTTAGTGGAGCCTTTATTTACAGAATGGGCCAGATTTTCCAATACAAGGCTGTCCCAGACAATGCTTGGACATGTGGGGCTGAATAAAGCCAGCTGGAAGGGACTGCAGAGAGAACAGTCCAGCAGTGAGGACACTGATGCTGCATTTGAGTCAAACTCACAGTCATTACCTCAGGAAAATCGGTTATCGTAACCCCCAGAACCAGTGGAACAAACTGCCTCCTGGAGGTTTTTAGAAATGTGAAATGGGGTCTTGAGGTGAGAAAACTTACTCTTGACTGCCAAGGTTTCCAAGTGAGTGATGCCAGCCAGCATTATGTATTTCCAAGATTTCCTCTGTTGGATCATTTGAACCCACTTATTAATTATAAGACCTGAACATACAGCAATATGAATTTGGCTTTCATGTGAAACCTTGAATATGCCAAGCCCAGCAGGAGAGAATCCAAAAGGAGTAACAAAGGAAGTTTTGAGGTGTGCCACGACTTTTTCAAAGCATCTAATCTTCAAAACGTGAAACTTGAGTTGTTCAACAACAGTCTCTTGGAATTTAAGCAGTCTGATGCAACAGTGTGTATCTTGTACCTTACACTAAGTTCTCTCTGAGAAAATGGAAATGTGAAGTGCCCAGTCTCTGCTGCCTCTGGCAAGACAGTGTTTACAAATCAACTCTGAAAATATTGGTTCTAAATTGCCTTGGAGCATGATTGTGAAGGAACCACTAAAACAAATTTAAAGATCAAACTTTAGACTGCAGCTCTTTCCCCCTGGTTTGCCTTTTTTCTTCTTTGGATGCCACCAACACCTCCCATTTGCTATAGTTTTATTTTGTGCACTGGAAACTAAGCATTTATTATAGAGTACCACCAAGCTTTCACTCCAGTGCTGTTTGGCAATGCAATTTTTTTTTAACAATTAGTTTTTAATTTGGGGCGGGAGGGGAATTACACCAGTGTCCTAGCTGTTAATTATGATTCCGCAGTGAAGACATTGCATGTTGTTTTCACTACTGTACACTTGACCTGCACTTGCAAGAAAAAGGTGGAATGTTTAAAACACCATAATCAGCTCAGGGTATTTGCCAATCTGAAATAAAAGTGGGATGGGGAAGTGTGTCCTTCAGATCAAGGGTACTAAAGTCCCTTTCGCTGCAGTGAGTGAGAGGTATGTTGTGTGTGAATGTATGGATGTGTGTTTGCGTGCATGTTTGTGCATGTGTGACTGTGCATGTTATGTTTCTCCATGTGGGAAAAGATTGAAATGTAAGCTTTTATTTATTATTTTAGAATGTGACATATGAGCAGCCACACTTGGGGGAGGGGAAGGTTGGTAGGTAAGCTGTAACAGATTGCTCCAGTTGCCTTAAACTATGCACAAAGCTAAGTGACCAAACTTCTCGTTTTGATTTGAAAAAAAGTGCATTGTTTTCTTGTCCCTCCCTTTGATGAAACGTTACCCTTTGACGGGCCTTTTGATGTGAACAGATGTTTTCTAGGACAAACTATAAGGACTAATTTTAAACTTCAAACATTCCACTTTTGTAATTTGTTTTAAATTGTTTTATGTATAGTAAGCACAACTGTAATCTAGTTTTAAGAGAAACCGGTGCTTTCTTTTAGTTCGTTTGTAATTCCCTTGTTACTGTAAAAGACTGTTTATTAATTATGTTTACAGTTTGTTGCAACAGCCATTTTCTTGGGAGAAAGCTTGAGTGTAAAGCCATTTGTAAAAGGCTTTGCCATACTCATTTTAATATGTGCCTGTTGCTGTTAACTTTTGATGAATAAAAACCTATCTTTTCACATTTATCTTTGATATTTACCTTATAACTCAATCCTTTGGAAAACACAATGCTAAATGACAAGGATGTCAAAGTTAGCCTCTTGGCTCTTGCACTCACTCCTCAGATGTTTACTCAGTCCAAGCTTCTCTGCTATCGTCTCACCTTGCAAGAGAGTAAGTCGAAGCCCAGTTAAGGTTGTTCATAGTCTTGACTAACACAGGGGAGAGGTCAGCTTTGAGCTAGGCCTTTTGTTCCCACAGTGGTGAACTGCATTAGACACCAGCAACTCTTGCAAGTACTAAAATACTACTTATACTTATTTCTATCAATCATTGGCCTTTTTAAAGTAATAAGAAAAGGTCACTCCATTCTACTTGATTGATATCAATGCAAGAAAGGTACCACTTTGCTGTTCCTATATCTTCCCAGGTCCAATTCATTAGAACGGATATGGTGCAAACTTCTAAGTCAAACACATTAACACATTACTTGTATAGAAGAGCAATGATGTCACAGAGTGCAAGCCACATAATTTTCAGCTTTCTAGTAGCCATATTTAGAAAATATGGAATTAATTTTAGTAACATCTTCCAGTACATCCACAATATTGTATCATTTTAAAATGTTAATGTAAAAACAATGAGATGTTTTACATTCTTCTCGGGGGTACTAAGTCTTTGAAATCCAGTGTGTATTATGTACTTAGAGCACATCTCAATTTGTTTGGACTCGTCTCATCTCCGGCACCCAATATCCACATGTGGCTAGTGGCTGCTGTGTTGGACAGTGTGGGCATAGAGGTCTGAGGGTAGTAGACTAATTTGGTCAACTGGTCACTCTTGTGAGATGGCCAGACCTTGGCCAATATTTATTGTGAACAGAAAGTCTGATAAACTCACAGATATTTAAAAACTCAGGCCCAGTGTTTCAGTACATAGAGAGTGGAACTATCATGGCAAACCCACATTAATCAAGCTCATGGTAACTGATATATATATATATATATATATATATATATATTTAAAACACTATCAATATTTTAATTTACAATGAGAAATGTAACTATCAATTATTCTCTCCCTTTAGGCAAATCTTCTGGGAAGCCAAATTATGATCAGCTGGTGAACATGGATTCTGAGCAAGGGAAGCAAGTTGCCTCGTGCACCCATGTCCCTTTGTGGATATATCTGCTGTGATATTCATGTTTGTGGACCAGGGTGCCCTCTTCCCCTGGAAGGTGCTAGAGATTCTCTGCCAGTAGTTGTTTCTGCACATCAGCTTCTGATTGGAACATCCATTAGATACGTCATTACCTCCAGCCTTGTTTCAGTTGAGCTCACCTGGGCTCCATTCTGCTTGTATACATATGATTGCTTCTGCTCTGCTCCATTGTTTCTTACAGTTTAAAACTCAAGAGTTCCACATTCTCAGGGGAACCCTGGGTGTTGCTCCCATTTCCTGCCTACACATATAATAAACCATTGAAAAGTTGTGTTTTATTATGTATATACATATATATATATATGTGTATATATATATATATTTTTTTTTTGGAAACAGGGTCTTGCTGTTGACTAGGCTAGAGTGCAATGGCATGATCACTGCAGCCTCCACTTCCTGGGCTCAAGTGATCCTCCTACCTCAGGCTCCTGAGTGCCACAACACCCAGCTAATCTTTAAAAAACATTTGTATGGCTGGGCATGGTGGCTTACACCTGCAATCCCAGCACTTTGGGATGCTGAGGCAGGTGGATCACCTGAGGTCAGGAGTTCAAGACCATCCTGGCCAACACGGTGAAACCCTGTCTCTACTAAAAATACAAAAATGAGCCAGGCATGGTGGCAGGCGCCTGTAATCCCAGCTACTCAGGGGGCTGAGGCAGGAGAATTGCTTGAACCCTGGTGGCAGAGATTGCAGTGAGCTGAGATCGTGCTACTGCACTCTAGTGTGGGCGACAGAATGAGACTCCATCTAAAAAAAAAAAAACTTTTCTAGAGATAGGGTCCCACTTTGTTGGCTTGACTGGTCTTGAACTCTTGGGCTCAAACAGTCCTGCCACCGTGGCCTCCCAACGTGCTGGGATTACAGGTGTGAGACACTGCATCCAGTCTATTGCCTGACTTCTTAAATAAGACCTGTATTACTGGAATGTTGGTTTTTTTCTAGAAATTTTTTGGGAAACAGTTAAATATTTGAAAGATCACTTTTTTTAAAAAGCAAGTAAATATTACAGAACAGAATGCAAAATTCACACAGGAGACGTCTAAAAACAGTTGTCACCCTTTGGGTCTCTTGACTCAACATTTTAGGGGCTGAGGGAGTCTGCTCTAGGACTAAAAGGTCCTTGGAGAGAAAATTTTGACAAGTCCTAACTTTAAAAAATAAAAATTGGTTCCTGGTCAATATTTGTACTCACTATAAATGTGATGGTTTGTAACGATCCTCTTTGTATAAAAGTAGAAGTCGTATTTTATGTCCTTTGCAAACGGGAAATATATTTGTACCTGAGGTACAGATTAGAGGTGCTAGTAATTCCTTAAAGATTCTGAAAATGGTCTCTTTTTCCAAAATGCTTTCTTGGTTTCTATTAAACTTTCTATTTTCTTAAAGCTTTTACATCAGATATTTCCAATGTTTTCAAGCATGTATAAATATTTTAATGTATAAATGCTGTTTAAAACCCCCTCAATCGGTATCTCCTGACTGAGATCACAGTGACCAGTAGCTAATAGGAATTCAGTATTGCTTTCAAAGAAATGTGCGTATTAATCACTGTAGCATTGGCATACATTTGAAACACGGAGTAGTATAGACCTCTGCAAGACTTCGCTGTGCCTTGCTAACTTGGGTCATCTAGAAGGCCCCCAAGATCCATGGACTACAGGTGGAAGGACCACCACTTGGGAGTGGGCTGATGGAGAGCACACAGCAGGGCTCCTCCATCTTCCTGGTTCCTGTGCTCAGCATAGGGCTGGTGTAAATTGGGCCATCAATAAACGTTTGTAGAACAAATTAATTTGGAATTAATGTGTTCCCTTTTTAGCTATCAATTTATTACTAAGAGATTATATTGAAACTCTTCCATCTATATTGGAGTCATGTGGTAAGCAGTATCCAAGTTTCTGTTTGCAGCGGATGGCACTGGATGTAATGAAGAGGGGATTAAAAATTACAAACCTTGGGTTCTGTTCTCACCATGTCGGTGACAGTAATATGTGCAATGTGTAATGTAATATGGAAGGTTTCTGTGTGGTACAACATGAGTAGTGTTGGGTTATTGTTTAGGAGAATGTAAGGTTTCATTCAGGTTGTGATAAAAGTGACGCTGTATCTAGTAATTCTTGTATTTTTTAAATTGTTGGCCGGACATGGTGGCTCATGTCTGTAATCCCAGCTCTTTGGGAGGCCGAGGCAGGCAGATCACCTGACATTTGAGACCAGCCTGGCCAACCTGGTGAAACTCCATCTCTAAAAAAATAGAAAATTAGCTGGGCATGCTGGTGTGTGCCTGTAATCACAGCTACTGGAAAGGCAGAGGCAGGAAAATCATTTGAACCGAAGAGGCAGAGATTGTAATGAGCTGAGATTGTACCACTGCACTCCAGCCTGGGTGACAGTAAGACTCCGTTTCAAAAAAATAGTTAATATCTATAACAGATAAAGTTACTTAGACTTCAAATTTGATTCTAAAATAGTTTTAAATGTTCATTATGCTACTTTATGTAAAGTACCTTCATCAGTTACACATTTTAGTCTTATAACTATACTTCCTAAGTTGCCCTGAAACCCACCTTAAATAGAATTTTTTTTTTTTTTTTTTGGTAGATGGAGTGTGTCTGTTGCCCAGGTTGGAGTGCTGTGGTGCAGTCTCGGCTCACTGCAACCTCTGCCTCCCAGGTTCAAGCGCTTCTCTTGCCCCAGCCTCCCAAATAGCTGGATTTAGAGGCGTGTGCCACCACGCCCCACTAATTTTTTTGTAATTTTAGTAGAGATCTTTGACTATATTGGTCAGGCTGGTCTTGAACTCCTGACCTCGGGTGATCCACCCTCCTCGCCCTCCCAAAGTGCTGGAATTACAGGCATGAGCCACTACACCCAGCCACTCCAGTTTTTAACATTAGATTTCTTGTTGGCTATACTTTAAAATTGAGGCACAGTGATGTAATTGGTTTACTGAAGCTTTTCACTGCTCCCATCAATAAGGCTTTGCCAAAACATTCCATCTTGTATTACAACACCTATCTTTAAGCTGTACATTTATTTACATGACATTTCTGAACACAGATCTGAAGTATTTCTTTATTGTTGAGCCATGTCCTATAAAGAAGCAGGAGACTATAATGATTTCCCAAGTTCCCTTAACTTAGTTGAAATTAGTAAAAGTTACAGACCTAAAGATGAATGTTTAGAAGGAAATACTGCGAAGGACAGTGCTTGCCTTAGTCCACTCAGGCTGTTAGAACAGAGAACCAGAAACTGGGTGACTTATAAACAAGTTATTTTCCCTCACAGTTCTTGAGGCTGGATAGAATGGTCATTTCTGGTAAGCACTATCTACAGCTTGTCAGACCTAGGTTTGGGTCCTGAGGCAGGTTACCTAATCTTCTGAGTGGCTCCCTAACTTATAAAATGTCTACTCCTTAAAGTAAAATTATTGACACATGGTAAGTGCTAAATCAAAGGTCACTATAGCTATTCTTAGTTCATTTCTTGATAATTTCTGCTTCTATAAATGCATGGATACAACTGTACCTCATGACATCTTCATTTGGGCTCCTGGCACTGACTCTAGAGGCTTCCTACTCAAATTCATGAGGGAGAATCTGATTGGAACAGCTCATCAGGGCTGTGTCCTGGCTTACAGAGCAGTCTGCAGTACCAGGCATGCCCCGTGCAGAAGGGAAGGCAGGGACTGGCGGTATCTGGGCAGCACAGCCCCCAAGGTTAGTGCCTTATGCTCTTCTCTCCCCTTGTGCTCACGCTAGTATTTCACAATGATTTTAAACCATGCTCTAGTT